ACATCAATGTGAGAGAGACACATTGATCAGCTGCTTCCTGCATGTGCCCTGACTAGGGCCAGGGATTGAACCTGCAACCCAGGCATGCGCCCTTGACTGGGAATCGAACCCATGACCTTAGATAGTGATTAGATGCGCTAACCACTGAGCACATGACCAGGGTGTGGTCAGTTTTGGGGGGCTGGATCTCGGTGATGGGGGCTGGGTGTGCGTTGTGGGCTGTGAAACAGCAGCTCTGGCCTTTACCCACTGGATGCCAACAGCACCCCCAAGTTGTGACGATCAGAATGTCCTCAGACATTGATGCTTGCTGTGATTGGAGTGTAGCCTGGGGCGTTGAGGACCCTGTCTGCTCGTTGCAGAGCAGACGGGTGCAGTGAGGAGGGCAGAGAGAGTCCTCATCAGGCGCTTTGCAGATGAGAAAGGCCTGAGAGGGGAAGGGATGAGCAGGGACCAGGGGCCTGAGAGGCCAGGGCCTGGGGTTGAGCATTCCCCACAGCCTCCCCTGTTGCTGGGGCACAGCTGTTGACTGGCAGGTGCCAGGCCTGGCATGTGTAGGTAAGTTGAGAGCCTTCCATCCTCCCAGGCCTCAGGGGAAGGGTGCTGCCTGCGGCACTGGGGACCCACTGGCCCTGCCTGAGTGACAGGCCTGTCCTTGCCGCCTGCCAGGGCGTGACTGGGGTGACCCCGAGACCTCCCAGGGGCCTCGCTGAGGGAGGGATGCCGTAGGAGGGGCTCCAGCCTCAGTGTGTCCCCTCTCCATGCACTGGGGGCTCCGAGCACCTCCCCCAGGAGCCGGTGTGATGACTGCAGGGAGTGGAGATAATGAACGTCAAATGCTGGACATGGGCTGTGGCTGGTTAAAGCCAATAAGCACTCGCTGTCTAGTGAGCCCCTGAGAGCCTGCCCTCCCCTTCTTGGGCCTCACTCCCCACCAGTGCCCCGGGAGTGTGTTGGCCTCGGCGACCTCTCTCTAAGGGTCCCCCACAGGATAGAGGTGACCAGCTGAGTGAGACAGGTTGGGAAGGAGCATGGGGAGCCTCTGGACATCTGGTCTGCCCCACCTCCCTGGCAGCGCGTGGCCCTTTACCTGAGGGGATGGACACTGGGGTCCAGGACCTCTCCATGGAGTCGGGGTTCATGTGGAGCACTCACTATCCCACAGGAGGGGAAGAATACACATGGGGGCATTGCCTTTGTCATTGGAGACTGGATGTGACGGAGTGGGATGTGGTGGTGGGTCCTTTGTGAGTGGAGCCCCTGGCAGGGTTCATGGTGAGGGTTGCCCACCCTCTCCCCCCAGGATTGACTCGAGAGAGAGGCACAGATGTGTTTAGTTAGAACCCCCCAGGCCTGGGGACGGGTGGCGGGGGTGAGGGTGGAAAGGCCCCTCTCAGGCTCTCGGTTGATGTTTGGTCATTGAAGCCAGCGGACCCGCCTTCCCCTCGGCTCCGACAGACCCTCCCTCTGTGACGTGGTCCACCCGTCCGCTCTGAACCCTTCGGTCACAGACACAGGAAGCCCTTCCCTGTGGGGCTGCTGCAAGTGTTACCAGTGACCTTTTGGGGCCGGGGGGTTTCCAGGTGGTTCCAAATGATCTGCCACTCGGCAGGCGCTGCTAAGGCGTGGCACTGGTCACCGCGTTGGACACACTCAGCCCTGGGAGGCCGGTCTGTCACTGCATGGCACATGGATGTACAGCCCTCGCCGGGGCGTGGCTGCGGGGCTCCAGCTGCCTCTCATAGCGGCTGTGAAGGAGACTTGCGGAATTGACAGGAGAGAGGCCAGCTGGACGCCAGGGAGCCATCAGTCAGGGGCCTAGCGGGAGCCGTGAGGCGAGCCTCTGAGCAGGTGCAGGTGAGGGTCGGGGAGAACATTCTAGGCAGAGGGAACAAAATGTGCAGAGGCCCTGAGCTGGGGGAGGGGGTGGCTTCTTCCAGAGATGGTGAGTGGAAGGAGATGACGGCAGGGCTGCAAGATGGCGGGAGCTGTGTCTGAGTCCAGGCGCCTCTCTTTACGTCCGGGTGTTGCAGGCCATGGCTGAGTTCTTGTCCCCGGCCTGTGGGCCTGCTGGGAGGCGGTGCAGTCCAACGACAAGACGCCTGGTGCTGTTCCCGCTGAGGCTGGCTGCTGGCTGTGTTCGTGGTGGCGACGGTGGCCACAGTAGCCTCGCACCTGGGCGGCCTGGCCATCTGGGCCCGGTGCTGACGTCCATGGCGAGGAGTGGCCGCAGCTGGTGGCCGATGGCCTGTTTCTGGGCCGTCTCCTTCCCACAGGTGGCCAAGCCCCAGGGAGACCATGTCACCCCAGATGCAGCCTGGTGAGCCTGAGGCCCGACCATGCCCCTCCCCTCCGCCCCGTCCTGTGCTCGCAGCACCTCTGTCCCCCCAGGGCCGGAGGGAAGCAGACGTGGGGCACCTTCACCGAGTGCCTGTGCCCCACGTGCTCCTCACGCCCTGGCTTGGCCCAGGTGTGCCAGCTCCCGATACATAGGGAACCCGAGGCTTGGTGAGGGCGCCCATCTGAGGACATTCTCGTCCTGGGGCGGGAGGCAGGCGTGCAGGCGGAGCCGAGGAAGGCGGGAGGGGCGCTGTGAAGAGGCCCGGCAGGCCGCGTTGGTTATTCACTTTAAACATGAAACGTCTGACTTCTAATTACAAACGCCTCAAGTCAAGAGTACAAGGCTCCACGGATTCTCATCACTTAGGATGAAATGTGCCCTCTGTGGAGCGGCCTCTACCCCAGTGGCTGTGTCTGGTCTCTGATGGACCTCGTGCTGTGTGCCCAGCCCCTGCCCAGACCCAAGAGGAGACCCCGTACTGTGAGCCCACCCCCTGCCCGGGC